CACACAATGCACACATGCACACTCAAGGCCACACATGGTGCACGCATATAAGACTGCACACATATAGAGCCACATATGCACACACACATACAGGCACACACAAGCCCTCGCACAGGCATACACACACACATTCACATGTACGTACACAGGGGTACACAGCACATGAGCTCTCCATCCTGCCCCACGTAGACCCTTCTCTGTGAGCCCCTCTCAGCTCCGTGTTGGACCGTGTCCCTGGGAGCAGGCTGATCGGAGGAGTTTGAGCCCCGGTGTCTGTTTCTCAGCGCTCAGCCCTTGTGCCACTCGTTTTTGCCCATGCAGATGGTGGGTGGGAAAGGGAAAAGAGAGCCCCATATAGGTATGTGTGTGTGGGGGGGGTGGGGGTGGTGTTAATGGGGTCCGGCCACTGATTGGATGAGCTGAGCTGTGTGTGGGCGGGGCTAATGTGGTCCCGCCACTGGTTGGGTGAGATGGGCCGCCTACGACATGGAATTTGTTTTTCTTTGTCCATATTACAACTCCACAGACAAAAGGGAAAAGAAGAGAAAAGACCCCCAGACTTAAAACTCTCCAGTCCTCTCACCCGTCAGACCTGTCACGCACCCACCATTGCTTAGGGTTGGCAGTGCAGGCCGGCGTTTCCCACCATTGTTGTGGGGTCTGGTCCAGGCTGTGCCAGCTCTCTCCTCAGCACTTTCTGAGTGTCCCTGGCCTTGGAGAGACGCCTGTCTCCACTCCCCTGACCCGTGTGTCTCTGCATCATTGTTTTACCCCTGCTGGCATGCTATCCCTCCCAACCTCGCCCCCCACCTCATCTAACCCATTCCCATTAGCTCTCCAACTGTGGCCGGTCAGGGAAGAGCCAGTCCTTCAGCTGGGCTTCCAAATCTCCAAACCCCAAACCCAGCTCCACACGTCTGAGTCCACTCAGACTCATCAAAGCCCTATAAAATGGAACAACCCCCCATAACTCACTGCCGTCAGTGGTTTCAGACTCACAGTGACCCTGCAGGACCAGGTAGAGCCGCCCTTGCCAGTTTCCCAGACTGCAGGTCTTTATAGGAGTAGAAAGCCTCCTCTTTCTCTCAGAAAGCGACTGGTAGTTTCGAACCACCGACCTTGTGGCTAGCACCCCAACAGACAACCACGGCACCACCAGGGCTCCTTACAAATGCAACAAGTGATGCAGAGAACAAAACTCGTTGTACGCCTGCAGGAAGTGTAGCCTGGACTCTCCATAGGAGAGCCAGTCCTCTTTGGCCGGACCGAGGCAGGTGAGGGACTCCTGTGATGCTGGCCAGCATTCTGTCATCGACGGCAGTGATGGCTCAGCTCACAGTGACCCACTGCCTCCGAGTTGACTCCAACTCATGGTGTCCCTGCAGGACGCAGTAGAATTGCCCCATGGGTCCCGGCCGGAACAGCCTGCCTCCTCTTCTCCCCTGGGGCAGCTGGTAGGTTCCACCTGCGAGCAGTGGAGTGCTTGCTTAATCGGCATGCCACTAGGGCTCCCTTGGGTCCATCGTTCAGTTGTATTAAACTAAGTACTAATTTCTAAGGGGTACACTTCCAATTATGAAGTCTACTTACTAAAGAGTATTTACAAATATTTGGATATGAGCCCTGAACATGCAGATTTAAA